TTCTCGGGAGATATTCAAGACCCGCCTGGACAAGGTCCTCTACAGCCTGCTCTGGGTGACCCTGCTTCGGCAGGAGGGTTGGACTGGGTGACCCACAGAGGTCCCTTCCAACCCCGACCATTCTGTGATTCTGTAATTGGGTACCCTGTGCTATATGAGCAATCCCACCTTTCTCTGGAGACCTCTGATAGCAGTACTCTGTCCCCACCACACAACAACAAGAAACCGGCCCTGCTAAGTGTCGGCTCATCTGCTGGCAGCCCAAGGGACCCCGAACACCACGTGCCGTTGTGAAGTGTAAAGCACAGGCTTCTCCTGCGTCTGTCACGTACGCATCTGTCCCCCCTGCCTCTGCCAACCGCCTCCAGCCGACGCCTGGTGTGAGAACGTGCCACTGTCACCTTGCCTTAGGGCAAAAAACTACTGCCCACAGGCAGAGATAGATGTTTACATGTCGCTTTGGTGCTGTTTTCCCTTTATTGGTTTTCAGCCCAATACCTCCTTCCTCTGCAACAGAGGCAGGGACCAAGCACGTGCTCAGCGTTGCTGCCGAGGCTGCTGGCAGGCACAGGCAGAGGACGTGAAACCCCTCATCCGAAAAGCCCAGCGCACTGGGAGCACTACTAACGCAGCACTGATGCACACAATTACTGATGAAATCTTAACCCAGCCCCCCTAAAGAAAGCAAAGAGAAAAGAGTAAACAGAAAAACATGAAGCGCTTTGAACAAACATATGCGAGATTTTCACTTTGATGGCTAGTAATAGCACAGAACACAAGGAAATGAAGATGATCAAACCGGGGTGCTTTTTTACGTTTCAGCTGGGTAACATTCAAGACGCACACCCAGCCTGTTTTATCTTGGCTACACCTTGAAACTGTTGAGGCTACTTAATATCCATGAGTGGAAATCATTCCAGAGTAGTACTCTCCATGCAGCGAACCAATCCCACATCCGAAGCCTGACCTGTTCCCTCTTTCCACGATTCTTACTGTGGTCTTATGCAGAGAAGCAGATCAAGGCTCCCAGGCTGGGGTGTTACGAGGACACCCTCCAAACCTCGTTCTCCGGGGCTGCTGGGGAGTTCTGAGCTCCAGTATGCTGCCAGCAGAAAATGAAGATGAAGATGAAGAGAAGAGAAGGGAAGAGAACCATTAAGGTTGGAAAAGACCTCTAAGGTCATCAAGTCCAACCACGAACCCATCACCGCCATGCCCACTAAAAATGTGCAACACAGGTGTAACTTCGAAGATGATCTGTTCAACCAAAGATTGTCCTGATTTTTGATGCTTTTCACTAGGACTGGGCAAAGCTGTGAGCAGGACCCCACACAGGTCCTCAGTGGCTGCACGAGGGATCAGGTCCCTCTCCCCCACTCCAGGAGCCACCCCCAAACACTGCGGCCGTGCCCTGGGGTGAGGGCATGCCCGGCACGCTCGCCAGCATCCAAACGGTGTGCCAGCACTTTCTTGCCAACGTGAACCGTAAATAACCCCAGAAACAGGGATCAAACCAGGAATGGTGGAAGCACCAGGGTGTAAGCACCACTCTGTGACACACAAAACCACTGCCGTGCTTGTTGAAAGAGCATCGTGGCTTGTGCATGTTCATATCTATTCATGCTACAAGCCAGTCTTAACTGGTCAGCAGTACCTAAACACAGTGAAGCCTATTTTTAGGAGCTGGGGGAGGAGGAATTCCTACCAGAAAAGCCATCCATACCTATCCACTTATGGTTCAAAATACAAACTTGAGCAGGTACGCTTTGTAACTTAGGCAGGGACTGTGCTGCACTGTTACTGCCTATTCAGCCATGTTACTCAAAGGAGTTTGATCATTTATTACAGCGCTTTCTTCTTCTGGGTATACACTGATAAACAGAAAAAAAAACAACTTAAAAGCCCATTTCCGTATTTCCCCGATTTAATTCCCTGAAACAGTTTGCGAATTCAGCCAGGGACTTCTCTGTAAGCCCGTTCGTAAGTGAGCGCACAGCGCTAGCTACGCTTCCATCTTCACGGACTGCTCCTGAACAAAGCGTGCTCATAAATTTTCTGTAAAAGCTTCTGCAATATTGATTCCTCCTTTCTTCAGCACCATGGGGTATATTGACTAGAACTGATGGTTATCAAATTTAGGAAACTCTTATGGTTTAGAAACGTTGCTCATCTGTTTATCTCAGTACCTTATCTCCTCAACTCGTTTTATTTTATTGTGTTCAAGCGCAAAATCATGTCACAACTTGTCGTATGTACGCGCAGAGAAAGCCATGCAAAGCACCTCCATAAAACACCCCCACAGAGGAACCAAACAAGCAAAAGCTTTTTCTGAAACACTGCACCGGGTGCTTGATGGCCCTGCCGCAGCGAGGTGATACGCGGCAGGTGAGGAACAGAACCGCTTTGTTTTCAGCTGCCCCCCTGTCCAGACAGGGCTGGAAAGATCTGTTCCGCCTTCCCCTGGCAGCGTGCTGAGCATCGGCATCCACGCAGCTCCGGGGGACCTCTCCCTCCCTCCGCGGTTTCTTCCGCTGTTGACAGGCAGCGCAGCCTGACCTTGCCGGATTCATAAATCACCCAGCTCCGGCTCCTTCCTCCGCAATGTTTTATTGCTCTAATGAAGCACGAGCACTCAGAGGAGGCAGTGATCATTACGTTCATTTGACAGCCAAGGAAATGGAAGCAGAGATGTAAAGTGATTTCCTGAACATATTGCAGACAGTCAGGGGCTGATCCAGACAGAAAAATCCCATTACCTGATTTCTAATTTCCAGCACCGCCACAATGCCAGACCGAGTATCTCTTTCGCGGAGTCCCGCTTCTTTTCTCCATCTACCACTGTGTAAACTCTCAAAAAACATATTGCCCCATCGCACTAACAATATAACCAATATTCTGTTGATCTCTGCACTCTTCATATTTTTTCCTCTCTAGTTCTCACCTCAGTGTGGAATGAAAAAAAAAAGCAGCCGATTAACAAAGTGTGCCATGCTTTCCTTCCCGTTTTTTCGAAGCAGATGTGGGAGACTCCTGAGCTTGCTTCAGGCGAGCACGGATGGCAACCGTGGACACTGGCTGCAGCTTCCATCCACCCACCATGCACATCCTGGGCCACAATGCCCGCGGTTTGCCCAGGCTCTTCCCACCGCAGCCGAGCAGGACATTTCCTGGCGCCCGTGGTGCCCGGGAGCCCAGCTCAGAGGTGACAGGACCAGCCCGAGCTCAGCCCGAGCTCGCTCAGACCTGGCTCGGCTCTTGCGCGCTGCCAGGAGCCACGGCTGCGAGGGCTCCCGCAGACCACGGCCACCTGGGCCCCTCTCCAGGAGTCTGGGCATACCTGATTGACTTCACATTATGATCTGAAACAGTACTAAAAGGGACTGTTAATTCCAAAAAGGGAGTTAATTCCAAAAAGGACACTCGGTTCTCCAAAGCGTGTCACGCCAAGGCCGTAAGCTTTGAACTGAACCTCAGACAGCACATTAGCGGCTACAAATTTCAGATCACACGCACCGTCTTCGTTCACAAAGTTGTTGAATCAACTTGTTCTAGTTAATACTTCATATTTAAAAGACAACTAAATCAGGTTCAAGGAAGGATAATACAGCTCTATTTAAACACTTTATTAGGCCAATTTAAGACTTTGATGTAACAAAAACATACAAAGAAACTTAACTCCGTGCTCTGCTGGTCTGTGCAGTCGTTGCTCTGCATCACGGTATCATCCTTTTCCGAAAATGTCATTGCCAAAAGGCAGGAAGTATCATTTTGCAATGTCTGTCACCAGGAATAAGATTCAGAAGTGGATAAGGAATCCCTTTTTCTTTTGGGAGGATGCAGGGATGGAAAAAGAGAGAACAAACGCTGCAGTAACATGCTGACACAACAGACTTGTCTCTCGGCTCTGACTTTAGAGAGGGCGAGTGGGATGTCACACTCAGATGTTGTGCTACACAACCCGAACAACGGTATCTCCAACCAGACCTTAGTCACAAGCACCAAACCTGAGAGGAAAAAGGGCACATCGTCATTTCTCACAAATCTCTGTTTGCACTGGGTAATCTGCAGAGAAGGAAAACCTGCAGCGCTCATTCGCAGAAAAAACACAGGA